GGCCACAGAGACTCAGTGTGCTAAAACAACACCGGTCCACTTCTGAAGAGTCCAAGAGTCTGTCATCAAAGCAGAAAGCGCTCTCCCTCCCCTCTCCAGATCTCCCGCTGACCCCTCAGGAGAGAGAGGAAGAGTATGAGCAAGCGGCGGCAGCATAGCTTTTGCCCAGCGAGAGCAGGATTGTCGCTGTTCGACTGGCAGACTGACTCACGGTGGAAGAAGATAATGAGAAAAGCTGCCGTCGGTGTGATGCTGCCAGAGGCCTGCGTGTTGTGCTTTGTGTTGCATTGCATGGTGGAGATAGCATCACTGCGGTTGAGTGTTATCCAGCCTTGGAGCCATCTCCGGGCCAGGCTGTGAGCCTTTGTATAGCTGCCAGAGCCGTGGAAACCCAGCAAGCCATCTCGCACACCTCATAAATCCACCCCCCGCCGCCGCCGCCTGCACTCGCCCACCCTTCTGCAAGGAAAAGTGGAAGAGGAAATCAGATTAGGGATGTTTAGTTTTTTTTTTCCCCAAGCCCTAAGATCAAAACCCAGGCTTAGATATCAAGGCTGCCTTTTGCACGGTTTCACCACTTTACTGCAAATGAATACACACACACACACACACACACATGCCATCAAATTGACAATTAGCTCCATTCACTGAGCGTGTCTGACGAGCTATTTATTGGCCAGCTAAATTAGTAGCATTATCGAAGAAGTTGTAGGTTCAGGATTTAATTAGTATTTCATACTTCTGTCATCCAAGCTCCATAAACAAGGCTGAAAAATCAACTCTAAAATAAACATTGAAGCTTATTTGCTTGACTAGGAAAAACAGCATTTTAAGGGATCCAACCCACTCCAGCCATAGTCTGCTCATGCTCATGCCATCAGGCAGGTGGTACTAAAGTCTGAGGAGCAGATCAGATCAGTTTCATGACAGTTTTTATTCTGTTGTAAGACTTTTAACAAACTGTGCAATAAGTATTTGTTCATTCCTTTTTGTGATAAATTGGTTTATACACTACCTGACTAAAGTCTTGTCGTAGATCCCAGTTGTAGGAGCAACAAATAATAACTTGATTCATAGTTAATCATTTGGAAAAGTGGCAGAAATGTATATTAACATGTAAATGTATAATAAATGTATAATAACTGCATCCCAATCATCACAAATACTGCAGATGATCTATTGGAACCTGCATGGACTAACGATTTTCACAGAAATCAGTTTGGTGAAGTCTGATGAAGGAAAAATCATGATTTGGGGTTACATTCAGTATGGAGGCGTGCAAGATATCTGCATTGTTGATGGAAAGATAAACAGCTTGAGGTATCAAGACATCTGTGCTGCCCTTTACATTAAAAACCACAAGTGAGGGCAAATTCCTTAGCAGGATAGCACTCCTCATACTTCGCATGCCTCCACATCAAAGTTCCTGAAAGCAAAGACGGTCAAGGTGCTCCAGGATTGGCCAGCCCAGTCACCATACAATAACATTATTGAGCATGTTTGGGGTAAGATGGAGGAGGTGTTGAAGATGAATCCAAAGAATATTGATGAACTCTGGGAGTCCTGCAAGAACGCTTTCTTTGCCATTCCAGATGACTTTATTAATAAGTTACTTGAGTCATTGCAGAGATGTATGGATGCAGTCCTCCAAGCTCATGGGATACACAATATTTATTATTTTCCCAATGCACCATGACTTTATATTCTATACTGTACATTATTTCTGTTAAGTGACAAGACTTTTTTAGGACCTTACTGTCCGAATTAATTAAAAATTAAAGCATGATCATATTTTATTTTGGTAAAATAAATGTAATCTAGAGGCCTTTGCCTTTCATATAAGCCACTTCTGATACCAAATGATCAACTAGAAGTCAGGTTATTATTGATTATTGAATGTTGATCCTAAAACTTGGAAAGGTTGGATAAACAAGACTTTTCTCAGGTAGTGTATTTCGAAAGATCATGCACCCTTTGGTGTAAATTCTCCATTAGTTAAGCTAGAAAGCAAGTTACTGGCTAAAAGCAAGAAAGCATATGCAGAACATCAAAACACTCGACTGCTCTGGTTGGATTTTATTAACTTTGACTTTTTTATCAGTTTGTGGTCTCATTTTATGTGTAACACTGACATCATCTTTCTTTTTACTACAAAGACATCATTTTTGCATGTAAATAACATAGTAAATGTAAAAAACAGGTCTCCAGCATAAATGGTAACATAAACAAAGAATCAATAATTCAACACTATTATGTCAATGGACTAAACATATTTGATGAGATGATGTTCTGAGGATTCTTAGCTTTCAAAATAAGCCGTGATGTACAGCAAAGAATATGTTTTAACTTTTTATTAAGTATGTTCTCCATATCTAAGCATGTTCTGTACAACTTACACAAATTTAGCAAATACATTCTTTATAAGCTTCCCATTGAAAAACAGCAAGCTACAATAGCTGCTTGAGGGGTGTAGCTTTAGACCGATGTATAGTTTGTCAAGATCACTGGTGTTCTTTTGATGTGATCTGTTCGTAAACATTGAAATGTTAAAAAACACCACCCCAGTGTGTCCATGTCCTGATGCTGGTTAATTAAATAGGCTTAAACTAGGCTGATTAGCAGCTCATGTAAATTTAAATTCAGCAATTTAGCATAAAAATTGTTAAATGGTCTTGAACCAAAACTATGACATCTGCCATATTGATGCAGTTTAAAGGATTGATCCAAACTGAAATGTAAATCTAGTTTGAGACCACAAATTCAAAATTCTGGCTTCTTGTTTAATTTTAGTTCACAAACGTCTGTGAAATTGGGTAAACCCCAAAATGTTTTACTATTATGAATATCTGCTCCAAAGAAAAGCCTGTGTATAGTAATTCAAAATATGCTAATGATTTTATCCAATTGCCAGCTCATTGTGATACATTAAGGTTAAAAAGGAAGACTGATGGAAAAAAATATAACAATTTCAGCAGACACAAAGTTTTTTTTTTCTTTTCATTTCTTGTCAGCTCAACTGTTGCATCTTCTGTCTGAGCTTCTGTGCTGACTAATTTATGTTCCTCATGTGTTTTCCATCCTTGAAAATCTGTTTTGACAAATGCATTTGTAAGAGTACGGAAGGCGCGGAGGAGTTGGCGTTGGGTGAATTTGTTGCTATTTGTTTTTGTGTGTGTGTGACTCTTGTATAACTGGCAGGTTGGTTTTGCAGACAATCTTCTATCAGTTCTAAACAAAACACTGTGATTATAGAGAATGAAATGACCCTGCAAATTGTGCAAAACACAGGAGAGCTCTGAAATGTGTAATGATGAAGTCTGAGTCTCTTCACTCGACTTTCACAAGTCTGTTTAATTCAGCAGAGGGAGAAGCTGTCTCAGTAATGCCGCCGGACAGAGATTTTCTATGCAGGTAACTGAAGTGTTCAGGTGTTACTCCAAACGCCTGGAAGAGAAAAGGCATTTCTGACCCAGAAGTTCCCTAAGGATTTCCTTTGGCTCTTTATAGGGGCTGTTTTGGATTTCTGAGCAAAATAAAGCCTGTGATAACCACTGTGCTAAAGAAGATACCAGGACATTTTGTTCGATGGAAAGTGCACACAGTGCACTCAAACAACACACTCCTTGACAAGATGGACTACTTTTTTTGTATATTTTGGGAACACTTTATTTTTTATTATATTTTTATTACATACAACTGACTATAAGTACTTCAATACCAATTATACTGTAATATAAGAGTAGAGTATTGACCTTGTTCTTCACATACAAGCAGGTGCATGCATTGGAATCTTTTTGGCTCGAGACTTCCGGTCTTATTCACATCGATTGACTTTTAGACATTAAAAATGGCTAACTGTCTTTATATCTTAATGTGAATATCATTATCATTAACTCGTTATTAACACTCATGAACTTCTGTGTTTAAACGTAATGGTCATCAAGTACATTAAAAACCAATAGAAGTGTTCTGTCTACATCAAAATAAACTGTTTAAATAAAGGATTTCATCAGTAGTTAAGAATGAGTTAATAATAATGTGTTCCTTCAAGTCATGACATAAGGGTACATTAACAGCTCATGAGTTCATGTTAGTTACATTTAGCTTAAATGAAAGAGTTAATTAATACATTAATTGACAAACATGAACTGACAATTAAGCTAGCCATTATTCACACATGAATTAATGTGACTCATATTGTAGTGAAAGTTAGTCTTTGATTAGTACATGCCTTAACTCAGGGGCTCGCAACCCTTTTCACTGCGGGGCCCACTTTCTCCAATATGTCTAAAATAAAATTCTCTAAAATAAAATGTGTAAAAATTGCTCATTTAAACCTTTATTTATTAACAAATTATACATTCTATTATATTATTATAACAAAAATATTAAACATTTGTTGTGCCTTCAATTATTTTCTATTATCAGCATTTTATAAAAAATATAATTTATTTAAATGTAATTATATATAAAACTAAAAATATAATATATATAATTTTATTTATTTTTATTTATTTTTTAAATATACACATAGTTTGTGAATGAACAGACATGCAGACAGATGCCTTCATAAGGCTGTTTTTGCACTGAGTTGGAAGTAATCAATCAGAGAACAGGAAAAAAGTAAATTACTTCGATAATTTTAACATATCAAATATTATGTCGCAATCCAAAAATTATAGTATAATATTGAGAGTTAATTTTAATCTCACGGCCCACCTGCAGGATTGCTGAGGCCAGCTAGTGGGCTGTGGCCGAACGATTGAGAATTCCTGCCTTAACTCATTAAGGTCTTAATGAAGTAATGTTTAGTTGTCATATTAGTACCAATTCATACTTCAACCCTGAAAACTGTACTGACACAGCTTCAATGTACTAGAACTTCTGTGTTAAGCTGCCTTACACAATCTGCATTGTAAAAGCGCTATAGAAATAAAGATGAATTGAATTGAATTAAATCAGCATCTTACGTTGCCTCTTTCTCTCCTGTTTGTCTGCAGTTGAACAGCTGAACCCACTGCTGTGGATCTCCATGAGTAACCCGACAGAGCTCCCTGCTGCCCCTTCATGCCTCTCTCGGTTCCTTGACACCTACCCTCTTTCACCCTCGTTCTCCCCGCCCAACCGTAACACGTCCTCAGTCTTCTGTCCTTAAACGATGTGGTCAGCTGTCCGTGCTCTGCTCCTGCTGTCTGCCGGACTCCTGCAGTCCAGAGGAGACTCTCCCCGCAAGGAAATCAAGATCGACGGAGACCTGGTTCTGGGAGGCCTGTTCCCCATTCACGAGAAGGGCATGGGCATGGACGAGTGCGGCCGGATCAATGAAGACCGAGGCATCCAGAGGCTTGAGGCAATGCTCTTCGCTATCGATCAGATCAATCAGGACGTGGCGCTGCTGCCGGGTGTGGTTTTGGGAGTCCATATTTTGGACACGTGCTCGAGGGACACCTATGCTCTCGAACAGGCATTGGAGTTCGTCAGGGCGTCCCTTACGAAAGTGGATGATACGGAGTTCATCTGTCCCGACGGGTCTTACGCTCTTCAGGAGGACAGTCCACTGGCTATAGCAGGAGTCATTGGTGGATCTTTTAGCAGTGTCTCTATACAGGTTAGAAACTGTCGGTTTGATCTTAAATCTAGATAAAGCTTACACAATTTAGCAATATTCATTCATTTATTTTCCTTCGGCTTAGTCCCTTTATTCATCAGGGGTCGCCACACTGGAATGAACCGCAAACTTATCCAGCATAGGTTTTACACAGCAGATTGACCTTCCAGCTGCAACCCAGTACTGGGAAACATCCATACACACTCATTAACACTAATACACTACAGCCAATTAAGTTTATTCAATTCTATATCACATGTGTTTAGACTGTGGGAGAAAACTGGAGCACCCTAAGGAAACCTACGCCAACACGTGAAGAACATGCAAACTCCACACAGAAATGGCAACTGGTCCAGCAGGGACTCGAACCAGCAACCTTCTTGCTGTGGGGCGACAGAGCTAACCACTTAGCCACAGCGTCACCCCGAATTTAATCTAATTTTAAAACATCTGAAATGCTAAGTATATAAATAAATGACCAACCGACTAAACAAACAAACAAAGGAAAGAAATTAGTTATTAATTTTAGCCATTTATTTATTTATTTATTTATTTATTTATTTCTGTTTGATGTTTTTTTATTATTATTATTATTAATTGTTAACAAAACATACAGGCTGAAAAACCTATATAATGAAACATATCAATTAAAAAAAAAGAAAAAAAAACCCACGCTCCTCCCCTGCGGTCTCTTGAAACTGGGCTTTACAATGAATAGAAGTTAAGATAAAAACAAAAACAGAATACAGTATCAAATATCAATTATACAAACCAAGGCAATCATTCTGAATCCTGATCATTTCTTTTTGCAATAAACAAGGAGATTTTGTCAGCAGCTAAAGTCCAGATCTGTAATGTACTCATTTGTACCAAGTTCACTCACGCTGTGGATAACTCCAACATTATAATGTCTTGAAGTTGTACCAACCACTTGTACATGTCCAAATTATGTGGAGGCAGCCAATGTTGGGCTAGTTTGCCATTTGTTTTATAAAGTCTCAACATTTAAATTTGGGTCTCAAACTCAAGATTACTGGAGACTATTAAGCAGGTGAGTAGGAGGTGGTTGGAGCTAAATTATGAAGAGGCGTGGCACTCCAGGAATTGAGTTTGAGACCACTGATTTCAGGTATATAGTTGTGTAATTTATGTAATAAATCCAATTTTCCAAATATCTAAATAAATGAATACATACATACATGCATAAGTAAACAAAGTAAACATGGTAAAGTAATTTAACACAGAAATTATTAGTCAATTTTTGTTGTTGTGCAGAAAATTAACCAGTTACTATAATCATTTTAGTAATAGTTACTAATCAATTATAATTAATTGTGGAAAAATAAAGTTTTTGCAACTTAAAATTCACAGTTAAAATATTATTTAATGTATTATGATCTATCTGTCTATCTATCTATCTATCTATCTATCTATCTATCTATCTATCTATCTATCTATCTATCTATCTATCTATCTATCTATCTATCTATCTATCTATCTATCTATCTATCTATCTATCTATCTATCTATCTGTCTGTCTGTCTGTCTGTCTGTCTGTCTATCTATCTATCTATCTATCTATCTATCTATCTAAATAAAAACAAGCATTAAAAAATATTTTTAAAAATATATAGTAAATAACTATCTTTGGGGTCGCCTACAAAACTATACTGCTATTTGAACATTTATACAGATTATAAACCTTAAAATAAAAACTTCATGAAATAAATTATGGACCAATACAAGAATGTAATGTAAATATAGATAAATAAACAAACAAATAGAAAACAAAACAACTCAATTGGTTTAAACAAATTTAGATTTTACATATTTCAAATGATTGCATGCAATACAGTCGAAATCAGACATTCAAGAGCCGAGTTTAATTAGCCCTATTTAATGAACTACACATGAACGAAGCAGAAAACCCCCTCTTTGTAGTGTAACCTCCCTTGAGATCCTCGAGTACACATTTTCAGCACAGTCACCTAAATAAACCTCTTTTATTAGTGTACAGTTTGGATGAATTCATTATTTCTCACTGAATTATTTGCCGGTTCGTCTTTGTGAATCACAAATTTGTTCTTCACCCTCCAGAAATCTACTTGGCAAAACAACAACACAGCTCTTTTTTCCCTAACAAACTATGAAAAGCCCAATTCATTATTTAAGGCAAGACACTGCAGGTGAATATGAACCAATATATATCACCATACTTCCCCAGCTGATACATTACATTAAGAAACAATACAAGTGTTCTAAAATGTTATGCTTTAATATGAAAATGAGCCTTTATTTAATTCAATATGTGCTAATTTGCATCTATTTTTAGCACAGCAATCTGAACATTGGAAGAAGCCAGCTTCCTTTTTTTCAGAAATATTAAGAGTCAAAGGTTTTTTCTGAAGGGATTTTGAGTATTTATTTTTATTCATTCATTCGTTTTCCTTTCAGAGGTCGCCACAGCAGAATGAACTGCCAACTATTCCGGCATATGTTTTTTGTAGCGAATGCCATCCAGCAGCAACCCAGTACAGGGAAACATCCATACACACGTTCACAAACACACTCATACACTATGGCAAATTCAACTCTACTATAGCACATGTCTTTGGACTGTGGGGAAAACCGGAGCACCTGGAGTAAACCCACACGACCTGCTAGAGAACATGCAAACTCCACACTGAAATGACAACTGGCCCAGCCGGGACTCGAATCAGCAACCTTCGTTCTGTAAGGCGACAGTGCTAACTACTGAGCCACCATGCCACCTGTATCTCTTTTTATCACTCTGTAAATTCTCGCACAATGTTTGAATCACTGGGTGCACATTGCCCTCCAGAATGATTCGCTAGTCCTTTGCAGTGACGTGCTCATCTAGCACAAGTATTAGACTTAGGGAATACCAATATATTGCAGACCAAACCATCACTGATCCACCTCCATGCTTCACTCTGAGCATGCAACAGTATGGGTGGTACACTTCTTTGGGGCTTCTCCACACCATAACTCTCCTGGATGTGGGGAAGACAGTGTAGATGGACTCATCAGAAAACAATACGTTTCACATTGTCCATAGCCCAAGATTTTCATTGCTGGCACTATTGAAACCGACGTTTGGCATTGGCACAAGTAACCAAAGGTTTGGCTATAGCAGCCTGGCCATGTATATTGACACTGTGGAACTCTGCTAATTAAACCTTCAACCTTCATCACGTTTGTGATGTGATTTCGCAGGTCAGAGTTCAACAAAGTTAAAATGCAGTGACAAAATTGTCACATAATCTTGCATTTCTAGTCTGCTGCATCTATATGAATGGAAGTCTATAGAGCGAAAAGTGCAGTGTGGAAGCTGCTTTAGTTGTGGAGTTTGCAATTAGTGAAGATTGGCTACCAGGCTTGTCAAATTTAGCCATGAAACCTCCAACACTAAATTGGTTGTTTCAGTTTTGCAGCATTGCCTAACCCCTATATATTCAGGAAAATTATGTATACATATCCCTCTTTAAAAACCTTCAGAAGATATAAAAAAAACTTTGTGTGGTGCAAGTGTTGCTGAAGTGAATATTTTAAGAAAAAAATAATTTTACAAAAAGTGTATTGATCAAGGCAGCATAGTGGTGCAGTGGGTAGCGCTCTCGCCTCAAAGCAAGAAGGTCGCAGGTTCGAGCCTCGGCTGGGTTAGTTGGCATTTCTCAGTGGAGTTTGCATGTTCTTCCTGTATTCGCATGGGTTCCCTCTGGGTGCTCTGGTTTCCCTGACAAGTCCAAAGACATGCGATAAAGGTGAATTGGGTAGGCTAAATTTTCTGTAGTGTATGAGTATGAATAACAGTGTATGGGTGTTTCCCAGTGATAGGTTGCAGCTGGAAGGGTATTTGCTGTGTAAAACATGTGCTGGATAAGTTGGCGGTTTATTCCGCTGTGGCAACCCTAGATTAATAAAGGGACTAAGCTAAAAAAGAAAATGAATGAATGTATTAAGTGTGACAAATTAAACATTTAATGTCTGTGTGAACTGGAAGTTGCTGAGTCTTTTATTCCAGTATGTTGATGCCCTTCTAACTGAAATGAAATATGAGTAGGGGGCGGAGCTTTTTTTGCAAGCCTTTCCCTCGTTGCAAATTAACAATATGACAGGCTTAGTTAAAAATATTGTGTGAAAACATGCGGAAGCAAAACATCCGACTTTGAATAGTACCAAATAAACATTTTTTTCCAGTGAATTAACTTTGAAGGATTAATTGTTCATCTAAAGCAGGGGTGCCCAAACTTTTATCTAAAGCAAACTTGATTGAGGACTGTTGGCCAAATAAATACCAAACCGTATATATTACATTTGCCATGGGTAATTTTATAATTTATTTGGTAATATTTCAAAATAATTAGAAAACATTGCTTTAATCATATTGACTAATGCAGTATCATTTTTATTCATTCATACATTTTCTTTTCAGCTTAGTCCCTTTATTTATCTGAGGTCTCCACAACGGAATGAACCAATACCATTTTTAACATTTTATAGTGATCTTATTCCGTCACGGTGGCTGGTTCGAGCCTCGGCTGAGTCAGTTGGCATTTCAGTGTGGAGTTTGCATGTTCTCCCCACGTTGTTACTCCAGTTTCCACTACAAGTCCAAAGAGATGTGTCACAGGTGAATTGGGTAGGCTAAATTGTCCAAAGTGTATGTGTGTGAATGGGAGTTTATGGGTGTTTCCCAGTGATCGGGTACGCCTGAAAGGGTATCCGCTGCTTAAAATATATGTTGGATAAGTTGGCAGTTTATTCCGCTGTGGCGACCCCAGATCAATAAAGGGACTAAGCCGAAAAGAAAATGAATGAATGAACTGATTAAAGTAAAACATAAACAGTCCCATTTATAACACAAGTTCGATGCTGAATACACTAATCGAGCTTGCTTCGATTTGCTTGCAGAGGTCTTGTGCAGTTTGCTGACAGTATTTATATTTAAAGTCTGATTTACACTATTTAATTGAATTTCAGTGACTGTTTTTGTAGCTCAGAAATAAAACCAGGGGTTATACGTTAAATTCAAAATGGCGATCACTTTTAAAGGCTTTTGCCCCAACCACCTCCCCATCTTTCCGGATGGGATGGTGGGCCAAATTAAAGGTTACCATTTGCCAACTTTGTCAATTGACCCCTACTTTGTGCATCTCTGATCTAGAAAACCAAATAAACATTGCAAATTTTTTATTTACACTGACTTTAAAAGTGTATTTCAGAGGTTTCCTTTGCATCAGACTGAACTAGAATTGTTTATGAAAAGCCAAAAATCTTAAAAAATGGCAGATGCATGAAAAAATGGCGTTGCCTGCATTGTCTCGTCCTAAACACCTGCCTACATATAAAACTGCGCCACCCCCATTTCCATTCTTCGCCCCTGTAAATCCAGTTTTCTTTTTGCATTCCTCTTGTACGTGCAAGGATTAGCACTGCGGCTATGCTATTGTGTGTTGCGCGTTGTTGCTTTCTAGTAGCACTGGTGACAGAGCCATGGAAATTTGCATAATTTTGCATAACCCTCTATCCATTTGTGGCTCAGTTAAAGCTGACTTCCTCTATCAGTTCCAAAGTCCGTAATCTGTCTAACCCTCCTTCCCTCTCCATCTTTTTCTTGTTCCCCATCAGTCTTTTCCCCCCGTGGTCTCCCTGCAGTTTTATTTAGTGATATTGCCTGTTTCTGCCAAAGAGCTTGGAGAATTGTGACCTCGCTGTGGTCTCTCGTTAGATAACCATTGTTATCCATCGCTCTGCTTTCATCGCCAGCGACTGGCCATTGTTTTTCTGTCACGACACCGGCTGTTGTTTGACAATCCCGCCTCTCTCCCTCTGGCAGAGTCACTCCTGAGAGCCAGTGTACACTTCTGTCCCTCATTCCTGCAGATTCTTTTAAGTTGCATCATATCTCTGCGTTCACAGGGATGCAGGTTTACTCTCCATTGAATGGGGGGAAAACTGTATAAATATTTTTTTTTCTAAAGAAACAAAAAGTTCAGGTATTTTTGTTGCACTCTGAGATATTTAGATACACTTCAACCCATTTCTTGACTCATTTTACTTTTAAAATTTGTTGAATTTTCCACATGAAGTGTCAACAGGGTAGAGAAAAGTCCCATAATGCAATTCATAACTTTAAAATCCTAAAATATGGATACTGTTAATTAAGTTATATTTTTTACAGTGTACAAAGGTCTGATAAACATTTTAACATTATCACTTGTTCTATCTATCAAGTTACAAATGAAAATTAAAAATCATAATGAAGACAGACATAATGCAAACTTGGCAAAACACTACCTAAATAGTTAGTTCTGTATTTGTTAACATTAGCCAATAGCACCCAACAGGCACAGGACGTCAACATGACATCATTGCATTTTGTTTGAAAATGAAAATCGGGTTGACGTAAGAACCCAATGTCAGGCCGACATCAATGTACAGTGTCAGACAGATGTTGTATTTTAGTTACTTTCCAACGCAACCTAAAAACAACAAAATTTATTCATTCATTTTCTTTTCGGCTTCTTCCCTATATTAATCAGCAGTCACCAAAACTAAACTAAAACTAAAAATATCAACGTCGAATGATGTTACAGCTTGACGTTGTGTGGACGTTACCAATATGATGTCTATCAGACTTTGGATTTTGGTTGTCATACCTGATAAATAAATGTCAGTATTTGACATTAATATGACGTTGTTTTAAGATGTTAGCTCGACGTTGGTTTTTGGTCACTTTCCAAAGCAACCTAAAATCAACCAAATATCAACATATGATGTTACAGCTTGACATAGTGCAGACGTTACCAATATGACGTTTATCAGACGTTGAATTTTGGTCGTCGTATACCTGACAAATAAATGTCAGTATCTGATGTCAAGATGTTGGTTTAAGATGTTGGCTCGACGTTGGATTTTGGTCACTTTCTAACACAACCTAAAATCAACCAAATATCAACGTCTAATGATGTTACGGCTTGGCCATGTATGGATGTTAACAATATGATGTTTATCAGACGTTGAATTTTGGTTGCCATACCTGACAAATAAATCAACACAACCTAAAATCACCCAAATCAACGTCTAATGATGTTACAGCTGGGCGATGCAGTGGCACAGTACGTAGTGTTGTCACCTCACAGCAAGAAGGTTGCTGGTTTGAGCCTCGGCTGGGTCAGTTGGCATTTCTGTGTGGAGTTTGCATGTTCTCCCTGTGTTCGCGAGGGTTTCCTCCGGGTGCTCCGGTTTCACCCACAGTACAAAGACATGTGGTATAGGTCAATTGAGTAGACTAAATTGTCCGTAATGTATAAGTGTGATTGAGTGTGTACGGATGTTTTCCAGAGATGGGATTGCAGTTGGCAGTTCATTCCGCTGTGGTGACCCCTGATGAGGGATTTAGCCAAAAAGAAAATGAATGAATGAATGATGTTACAGCTTCACATTGTGCAGACGTTACCACTATAACATTGATCAGACATTGGATTTTGGTTGCCATACCTGACAAATAAATGTCAGTATTTGACATCAATATGTGATATGATATGTTGGTTTAAGACGTTGGTAGGACGTTGAATTTTGATCACTTTTCAACACAACCTAAAATCATCCAAATCAAAGTCATTTGACGGCAAAATAACATTGTCCTTAGATACTGGTGACCTAAATCTAACCTAATATTAGCATCTTATGATGTCGAATGTCTGCTGAGCACAATGTCCTCAGTGACATTTTTTATTTTACATTATTAAAGCAATTTATTCATGAATAGCACACTGATGAACCAGAGTCAAACTTTACAATAGTATGTTATATAATACACACAACATGTAAGCCTTGAAGGAATAGTTCCCCCAAAAGTAACCTCATAATTTACTCTCCCTCATGTGGTTTTAAACCCTTATGGTGTTTCTTTCTTCTGGTAAACACAAAAGAATATATATTGAAGAATGCTGGTTGCTGGCACACATCAACTTCCATATTAGAAATTAAATAACTATGAGTGTTAATGTGTGCCAACAACCAGCAGTATTCAAATTATCTTTGTTTGTGTTCGATAAAAGAGAAGAAACTCAAAATAGGTTTTGAGCAAGGGTGAGTACAGAATTAAAATTTTTGGGTGAACCATCCCTTTAATGTAAATGAGTTGTGTGACATTTACACTGACCCCACAAATACACAAATGTGGATGTTTACCCTAGGATTTTACCATGTGAAACATAAACAAAATGATTACCCTGTATCAATTGTTAAATTTGGCTAAATTGTGTGAAACATGAAGCAGCATTCCTGGTTATCCAGTATTCGGTTTACCTGTGATTTACAATGACCTGATTTAATTTAGTGTAGAAGTCTAAAAACACAGGACGTTCCTAATAGGCTTTTTCCAACTACACATTTTGTTGAATCAATAAAAAGAAGCATGCAAGCAAAAGTTAGATCATCAATTTAGATGTCATGTTGACTTTAAGCTCTTCTTACACCTGAACATCAATATAGCAGCAGGACAATAAGCACTATTGAGAATTCATTACACAAAATAATGATTGCACAATAAAGAAGCTGCAAGCTGTCTTAGCTTTGACGTAAAGACTTGAATCATTGTACGCACCAGTGTCAGTGTTATGCAGGAATGGAGATGTTTTCCTGTGCATTCCTGCGCACTTAGCGTGGGATGTGTGATATGGAGGAGCCAAGCTGCATCTCACCAAAGAGAAACGTTTTCACGCTGCTCAGCCCTGCTGAGACTGCATGCGTCCTCTTAATTGGGCTAATGTGGCTTGATCCAATCAAATGACTAAAAAAAGAATATTTTATGTATCATAGACTCTGGATGATTATTTAATAGGGTGCTGACTTATTGATTAAAACAGAGTTTGTAATGCATCGCTCTATATGTTTGTGTTTTTCTCTCAGGTTGCAAACCTGCTGCGGTTGTTTCAGATCCCTCAGATCAGCTATGCTAGTACCAGTGCCAAACTCAGCGACAAATCCCGCTATGACTACTTTGCACGAACCGTCCCTCCAGATTTCTACCAGGCCAAGGCCATGGCGGAGATCTTACGGGCCTTCAACTGGACCTACGTTTCCACCGTGGCCTCAGAGGGAGACTATGGAGAAACAGGAATCGAAGCCTTCGAGCAACAAGCGCGTTTGAGAAACATCTGCATCGCTACTTCGGAAAAAGTAGGACGATCTAGCGCAAAGCGTTCTTCATATGAGGCCGTGGTCCGCCAGCTCCTCCAGAAGCCCACAGCTCGCGTCGCTGTTCTTTTTCTACGTAGCGACGACGCAAGAGAACTAATCGCCGCTGCCGCCCGCCTCAACGCATCTTTCCTCTGGGTGGCCAGCGACGGATGGGGGGCGCAAGAGAGCATCGTCAAAGGGAACGAATTCACAGCAGATGGTGCAATCACGCTGGAGCTAGCGGCTCATCCCATACCAGATTTCAACCGTTACTTCCAGACCCTCACGCCCCAAATTAACCATCGCAACCCCTGGTTCAAAGACTTCTGGGAGCAAAAGTTTCAGTGTTCATTGGGTGGGACGTCAGCAACAGGGGCAGGAACCCCAAAGCCACCTTGTGACCAGGAACTGGTTATCGACAAGTCCAATTTTGAGCCAGAATCAAAGATTATGTTTGTGGTAAATGCAGTGTATGCCATGGCGCATGCTTTGCATCGCATGCAACGGACTTTGTGTGCCAACACTACACGTTTGTGTGATGCCATGCGCAGTCTTGATGGCAGGAAACTCTACCGGGACTTTCTGCTGCACGTCAACTTTAGAGGTAACCTGCTCTGTTTTGTTTTGTCTTTCTCCTCGCGGTTTTTCTTAGACTAGTACTGTATGAGTTTACGGCATATCTGTGTCAGTCTGTGGTTGTGAAGCGATGGGTTTACAGGCTCTGTAATTAGAGACTCTGTGTGTCTTGATTGCGACTGGGAGAATGAGGCACCTTCTGTCAGCGCCGCTGAGAACTCGGCATTGACTGACAGCTGAAGGAGAGAAAGCCAGGTAAAAATAAACTATGTTAAAGTGCTCAGCATGCTCAGGTTTGCCGCGGCAAGTAGATGGGATTATGCCACACTTATCTGTGACTCTGCACAAACACATTCAAAGGCAAACTCACAGAGGGAGAGAGCAAATGATAGCTAGAAGTTTTGAGAGAGGAAACGATGCAGAAAACTCCAAACGGGGATGATAGAAAAGGCAGCATAATTATAACGAATGCTTTAAGAATAATGTGGAGATGCAAAATAAACCTCGTAAGGGTAATCAAAACCCTCACTTGAAACAGAGAGGTCTTATTTGATACTGGAGGGGCTTATTTTGCAAAAATGACCAACAGACTGTGCATAATTTAGTTGATTACACGAGTACTCATAAAATAAATAAAAAATGCACATTAAATATTGATTTGAGTTGAAATTTTATAATGTAAGAAGAGGCTCCAGAATTATGTAAGTAAATGTCATGATGCATAGTAAAGGACTACTAAGGCTACTAAGTTAGTATCAGGTGGTGATAGAATATATTAGCAATATCACACGAGAAGCAGTGTGATATGGCTGCATATACAAAAATACCCCACTGCTACGAGAGTAATACTGCATTTATACAAAAGTTTAAGGGCATGATCGTGTATATACAAATGAAAATCAAACACGGAGAGTCTCAAAAACCTTTTTTGTAAGAGGAACTACTTTCTTCCACCTCTTATTCACATCTGCAGCTGACGGTCAGAACAGTAGAAACTGTTGCCAGTACACAAACATCACTTTAGAGCTAGAATTTGAATGATTTTCTAGCATAATGTCTAAAAAACAGGTGACTTTGCTCACATTTAAGATTATACGGCTGAAAGGCATGATCAGTCTAGACTCTAGAGATTAGGTTAGGCTGCCCAGTATTTCTCTGTTGCAATCGGGAGATCACATTAATTAACCCCGAAAAAACCAAACTACCAGATTACTGTGGTATAATACAGCACTACAAAAAAAAGAGATCGACTCAGAATGCCATTTACCAGTTCTATAATCATTTGGTCAGCTGTTTGAAATACGAAAACAAAACGCTGAGTTTTTCTCCTCTAAGCACTTATGCAGTCTCTGTCGCCATCTTGCGGCGGTCAAAAACATGCTCTCCAAAATTATAAATATTTTAAAATAGGCACCATACTTATAATTAACTGCAGTTTCAATCGAATTAACTACATTTCCGCCTAAAAAAGGCATTAAAAATACATTACGTTGTCCAACAGTTACAATATTTGTCAAACTGTAATGTTAGTGAGTTTATTGTCGTGTGGGCGGAGTAATACACAAGAGTGAAGAAGCTGTTGGAGAGCTGTTTTGTAGGAAGCTGAGGAGTGCAGAATTTCGCACGGCTATCAGCCAATCAGATTCGATAACCAGACAGAACCGTTGTATATTAATAGTGATAATAATAATAAATCGTTCACTCACTCATTCATTTGCATCCGCTTTTCCGACCGCGTCGTGGTGGCAGCAATCTTAGAAGAGAACCCCAGACTTCCCTCTTCCGGGGGAATCCGGAGGCGTTCCCAGGCCAGTCGAGATACATAGTCCCTTTAATAAATAATAATAATAATAATAATAATACTAGTAATGTTTAATGTTATGCTTGCTATTTAATTGTACAAAATTAAACAGTAATTTTTGCAATTATTATTTATATATATATATATTAAAATCTCATTTAATACTGTGAATTTTAAGCATCGTTACATCAGACATAAGTGTTACATTTTTTATAGAATGCATGCATTATTCTAATATGCGACTATTATGCTTGATGAAAACAGCTGCTTAATATTTATAAAATATGTCTACAATAATCTGGTTAATTAAAAAAAATTATATATATATATATATATATATATATATATATATATATATATATATATATATATATATATATATATATATATATAGTTAAAAATATCCCCACATAGTAAAAACAAGTATAGTAAAAAGTATAGTAAAACAATACTACCTGGGCATATTCTCAGTAAAAAAACTAAATGAAACTTTATGCCACACAACATGTTCTGAATAACAATACCATGGTATCCATACCCACTGTACCACCACAATATTATCTCTAAGCATCATTGTGTGCATGTATATGTATGAAAGACAGAGGAAGATAGAACAAGTTTCACACGCAGAAAAGAGAGAAACAGACACAAAGACAGATGGAAAGAGTGAGCGAGGGAGAAAGATGGGGCAGATAAAATGACGGCAGAGAGGTTGAGTGGGCTGGTTCGCATCAGCAGAAGAACATTCTCTTTGAAGTTCACCATCTTCATTTTTCAAGCGCAGAATCAAAGACGTGTGGGGTTTGCTGTCTGGGGCGATTGAGAGGGAGGCAGGAGGCAAAGCCATGCTGGAGAACAGGAGGGGGGAAAGCGTCATCATCACGCAGAGGGAGGAAATGCTGAGAGAGAGGGAAAGAATTTTAAAAATACATTTTATTACAATCAACATTTTAAACTATTACAATTCTTAAACAAACAAAAAAACTCAGTATGTTCTTATACATAAATATATACAGTAAAAGTCTGAACTATTAGCTCTCCTAAATTATTATTTATATAATATTATAATTATATAATTATATTTTCCCTCAGTTTCTGTTAAATGGAAAAAAGATATATATATTTTTTCTGAACATAATAGTTTTAATAACCCATTTCTAATAACTGATTTCTTTTATGTCTGCCGTGATGACAGTACATAATACTTTCCTTGATATTTTTCAAGATACTAGTATTCAGTTTAAAGTGATATTAAAAGGCTTAACTAGGTATCAAAAAAAGAAAAAGAAATATTGCTAATAATATATGTATATGTAATAATATTGGCTAATAATATTGACCTTAAAATGGTTTTAAAAAAATAAAAACTGCTTTTTTTCTAGCCGAAATAAAATAAGACTTCCTCCAGAAGAAAAAATATTAAAGGAAATACTATGAAAAATTCCTTGCTCTGTTAAACATAATTTGGGAAATATGATAATAATAATAATAATAATAATAATAATAATAATAATAATAATAATAATAATTCCCTACATTTATATAGAGCTTTTCAGGACACTCAAAGCGCTTTACACATTGAGGGAATCTCCCCATCCACCACCACCATATTGCGCCAGACTGCAAAACAGCTGATTGGTGGAGAGGAGAGTGATGAAGCCAATTCTGATGTGGGGATGGTTCGGAGGCCATGATGGCCAGAGACGAGTGGGCAAATTTGGGTTAAACCAGAGTTAAACCCTGACACTTTCCAAAGGACATCCTGGGATTATTAATGACCACAGAGAGTCAGGACCTCCCTGAGCAGTATAAAATCCCCATCAATATACTAGGGTGTTAGGAACCACACAGACCGCATCTGCGATTACCCTAAATTTTATCAAATTTATAAAAACATCAATTTAACAGACTTTATTTTATTTTTTTTATGTTTACATCCCTTTATTTAAATTATTACTTTAAATTATTAAATTATTACTTTAAATTATTAATTAAAACTTCATCAACAGCATACAAAATGTTCTCAGGGTCTGAAAAATAAAAAGCCAAGTTATTCGTCAATTTATAAAAAGTGTGTGTGTGTGTGTGTGTGTGTGTGTGTGTGTGTGTGTGTGTGTGTGTGTGTGTGAGAGAGAGAGAGAGAGAGAGAGAGAGAGAGAGAATGAAAAGACCAAATTAGATTTCACAAAAACATTTTCATTCATTAATTTTCCTTTGGATTAGTCCCTTCATTCATCAGTGGTCGCCACAGTGGAATGAACTGCCAACTTATCCAGCAAATGTTTTAAACAGCGAATGCCCTTCCAGCTGCAACCCAGGCCAATTAATATTATATTTAAGTCACCCATAGCGCATGTCTTTGGGGGAAACTGGAGCACCCTGAGGAAACCTACGCCAGCACGGGGAGAACATGCAAACTCCACACAGAAATGCCAACTGGTCCAGCCGGGACTCGAACCAGCAACCTTCTTGCTGTGAGGCGACAGTGCTAAACACTGAGCCACCGTGCTGCCCACAAAAACATTTGATCAAATATTTTTTTCCACTTAAAATATAAGTGACCGGATCTGGGGGAAGATCAATCCATTCAAAATTGACCCAAAACAAAGCATTACAATTGACTAAGATTGGCAATGAAAATTCAGAAAACTGGCATACCAAGATCCGCAGAAATTTTAAAAATTACAATAATTGCAAGTGATCAAAATTTTGCAGAACAAAATAAAGAAAATACAAAAACAGCAGCTTATTTCCCATCAAGTAATGACAATAAAACTATTTCCAGACACATTAAAGTACAACCATATAAATCAAGTCCTTGTTTAAAAAAATAAATAAAAAAATTGTTCTCCTTAAAAAACACAACATATCACTTTCTAGGTAACGTCACATATTTCAAAGGTTAACTCATTGGCTAAAGTGCAAAATCAATCAACACTCTTGCTTTAAAAATCATTCAAAACAACAAACCTAAAAATCTTTTTTTTTTCTTCCACTGCTTTTCCAGCTTAAATTGAGTTGAAGTCAAAATTATTAGCCCTCTTGTTAAATTTTAATCCTTTTATATTTTTTCCCAAATGTCTGTTTAGTGGAGAGATTTGTTTCAACATATGTCTAAACATAATAGTTTTATTAACTCATTTCTAATTATTAATTTCTTTTAAATTTGCTATGATGACAGTACATAATGGCTGTTTCTCAATTCCACGAATGCAGAGAACAGACTCGAGTTCTTGTGAAGACCGGTCTTGCCAAGTTACCTCAGAAGAACCGTGGTGCGTGCCCTGCGGGCCTGTCCGCTACGCCACTGCTCTAAACTTTAACAATAAATCTAGTTAAAATGCTGTGTTTCCCTCCCCCTTTATTCAGCCGAAATGACTTCTGGGACTTTTCAAGCGAGCTTTGCACTCAAGTCTGAGTCGATGCGTCCTCAATATCAAGAACACATGCGGGAACTTTCACACGTCCTCCGTTCTTGCAATCTTGAGTTTTGGAACTGAACTTTGATGTTTGATGATGATGTTACATGAGAACATGCTGACGCGAGAACAATGAAGAAAGCATATTGAGAAACAGCCATAATTTTATTTATCAAGACACTAGTATTTAGCATTAAGTGCAATTAAAAGGCTTAACTAGGTTAATTAGGTAAGTTAGGCAAGTCATTGTATAACAGTGGTTTGTTCTGTAGACAATTGAAGAAAAATGCTTATATAATATAATATATTATATTATTATAACTTATAAATATATAATATATATAATATAACTAAATATGACTTTACAATTTTTTTATTATTTCCCAAATTATGTTTAACAAAGGGCGACGCGGTGGCGGAGTAGGTAGTGCTATCGCCTCACAGCAAGAAGGTCACTGGTTCGAGCCTTGGCTGGGTCAGTTGGCATAATATAATATAATATAATATAATATAATATAATATAATATAATATAATATAATATTGATTTTAAAATGTTTTCAAAAAATGTAAAAACTGCTTTTAATCCAGATAAAATAAAGCAAATAAGACTTTCTACAGATGAAAAAATATTAGCATAAATGCTCTAAAAATTTCCTCTCTCCATTAAGTATAACTTAAGAAACAATTGAAAAAATAAATATATTTCAAGGGAGGACTAATAATTTTGCCCTCAACTGTACAGTATATAGACATCTCAGCTTGAAAGCCAGAATGGAGGAGCTTGTGGAGTGATGATGACTGTAGATGTGCTCTGAATCAAAAGAAGGGTGTTGCTACTGTATAGATGATCTGCCATGGAGAAAGAGAGAAAAGATGGAAAAGATGTGAACAAGCCCATGAAGGATTTTCGGTTCACATTCTCCTCCCTCTGGTGGAGAATTAAGTCCCTCTGTGCTTCTAACTCAAAGTTCACACAGCTGCCCCGGCTCTGGCTTTCTCTCTGTCTGTGAAGAGTTTATTATCACTGCAGTCCAGTCTTTTGTCATTTGTTTGCTTGGTTTTCAGAAGACTGCACGTTTTCAGGATTTTTGGATGACCAGTGGCAACTTTCATATTAAGATTTGCTCATTTCAGAAACCTAGTGAGCTTGGGATCTATTCATTTCTTAAAGAGACTACCCTCATTTCTAAAGAGTCAACTACACTGTACTGTGTCAACTTTATCAAATGAAATGAGTGTAGTTAACTCAAATTTGCTGAAAGTTAATTCTACTCATTTGAAGTTTTAAACTCAGTGTTGAAGGTAATGAGTTAAATACCTCATTACTTCAACTAAAATGGAGTAAGTTCACAGTACTCATATAGATTAGTTTTTTTTTAACTCAAATAGTGTGTTGCAATCGGTTTCCTCAAAAGGTTTGGCTTGTCTTAACTTATTGGGTTTAACAGTACTCTGTTGGTTTGAGTTTTTTTTTTTCATTTATTGGGTTTTACAGTACTCAGTTGGTTTGAGTTTTTTTCATTTATTGGGTTTTACAGTACTCAGTTGGTTTAAGTTTTCTTCATTTATTGGGTTTTGCTGTGATCAAATTGCTTTGTTTACTCAAATGGATTAAGTTCACAGCACTCATTAGAGTTAGTTTTTGAACTTAAATGGTTTGTTGCAATCGGTTTCCTCAAGTGTTTGAGTTACCTTAACTTTTTGGGTTTTACAGTATGAACAAACTGCTTCACAAATTAGCATATTATATCACATTATTATATCTTACTTGAGCACTGCAGTTTGCATTATAGTAATACGAATACATTTTTATCTAAATTAAAAAGAAAAGTCCAATAAATTATTAATATTACCAAATTTTTTTATTTACTTCTGATTGTAAATCAGATACATAGATACAAAAAAGTAAATATATATATATATATATATATATATATATATATATATATATATATATATATATATATATATATATATATATATATATATATATATATATATATATATATATATATATATACTGTGTGGAGTTTACATGCTCTCGCCGCGTTCACGTGGGTTTCCTCCGGGTGCTCCAGTTTCCCCAAAACAGCCCAAAAACATGCGGTACAGGTGAATTGGGTAAGCTAAATTGACCATACTTTATGTGTGTGAATTAGTGTGTATGGTTGTTTCCCAGTGATATGTTGCAGCTGGAAGGGCATCTGCTGCATAAAAACATGCTGGATGAGTTGGCGATTCATTGAGCTGTGGCGACCCCAGTGTTCACACTTCTGCCTTTGGATGTCTCTGGGATAAAAGCAGCTGTATAAATACTTAAGCTTTGAATAAGAGTGAAACCATCAACAAATGCCCGACCCCGATTATGTTTACAAATTATATTAAATTATATTCAAGCACAACCATTTATAGGCCATGGTTAATGATGTTAGAATTTACTGGTATTTTGGAATGGATGTGTGAATGGTCTTTCCTGGAAAAATTCCATAATGTTCTTGCCTGTGTGAACAGCACTTTTTTGAACTTACTGGTAAAGTAACTTCAAAAAGTTTCGGAAATTTTCTGTATATATTCTGGTAAATTTTTTGAATTAGCAATAGAACAAACTACTGTTGTCTAATGAATTGACTAATTAACCTAAATTAAATAGCATAAGGGCATCATGGTGGCACAGTGGGTTCAAGCCTCGACTGGGATAGTTGGCATTTCTGTGTGGAGTTTGCATGTTCTCCCTGTGTTGGCATGGGTTTCCCCTGGGTGCTCCGGTTTCGTCCACAGTCCAAACACATGCGCTATAGGTGAATTGGGTTAGGTAAATTGTCAGTAGTGTATGTGTGCGAATGCAAGAGTGTATGGGTGTTTCCCAGTGTTGGATTGTGGCTGGAAGGACATCAGCTGCGTAAGACATATGCTGGATAAGTTAGAGGTTCATTCTGCTGTGGTGTATGAATAAATGGACTACGCCGAAAAGAAAATGAATGAATGAATAAATAGCATAACATAGTTATTGCACTTTTAGCTGAGCACAAGTATTTTCTAAGAAATTACTAATAAAATATGATGTAATGTAATAACGGAAAATATATTTTAAAAAACGGTTTTTAAAAATATTATGTTTAAAAATGCTTTGAAAAAACAGCACTTGGGAAACGTGGAAAAATAATTAAAATTTCACAGGATAGCTACTAATTTTGCCTTTAACTGTGTGTGAGTGTGTGTGTTTGTGTGTGTGTGTGTGTGTGTGTGTGTGTGTGTGTGTGTGTATATATATATATATATATATATATATATATATATATATATATATATATATACACATGCATACAGTAGCTATGCATAGTCCCATATTGACTTTCTAATTGAATTATCATGACACTTAATTTTTATGAGCTCTTCTGTCAACATGATATCTGTGAATTGAAAATTGCATGCAAACATATTCATATCACTATAATCAGAAGCTTTCTTTGCCATTTCTCACCATTTTGTCACATATATTTAAATAGTCATCTAAGTGCCACTTTCAGCAGTTGTAGATTGTCTTGATGTTTCTGCTATAGTATTATTCTGCCATTTAAAATGTCAACCTATTTTTACATATTAAAAAAAATAGAAAAGTTTTGTTATGAGTATATGAGACCAATCTAATGAGTTTTTTGTATATTTGTACATTTCAATTACATACAGTATAATGTCAGCCAATATCTAAAGGTGACTTAAATGGATATTTCACCTAAAATTAAAAAAAAATGCCATTCTCTTGTTCCAATACAAAAGAAGATATTCTGATGGAAAAAAGCTGAATACCTGTAACCATTAAATTCCATAGCATTTGTTTTTCTACCATGGAAGTCAATGGTAACAGCTTCCCTAAAAAGATCTCACTTTGTGTTCAACAGAAGAAAGAAACTCATAACGATTTATATTTTTGTGCGAACTATGCCTTAAACATCCAACAGTGTCCCTAATAGCAAGTATTTCTTCATCTCTACATTGCATACATCTACATCTAAATTGTACATCAACTGTAGCCCCATTCAACATCAGTCATACTATCTATTAAAGACTTCCTCCTCCTCACAGATCGTTTCTCCAGCAACAGGAACTGTTCATGGCTCACTGTATGTTAAAAGTGTCAAAAGTGGTTTGTTGGATGTCACAAAGTGCTATTCACAGGCAGCTCTCCGTGTCAGTGGTGTTGTGTTAAAACCTTACCCTCGGCGTCAGAGCGTTTCTGTGCCTGTCACATCTCCAATACCCCCAACACACTGTGCCAACAAGCCGTCGCTATAGCAATCAGGTCGCCACAAGCGGTGAGGTAATCTAGTAGGTTTACATGGAGGGGGGTTTCTGTCAACAGAGAGAAAACGAAAACAAAAAGATAGAAGGATTCAGAGCTTCCATTGAGGCACTCTCATTTACACAACTACACTGCAAACAAATACTGGTTGCCTTAAAGATGCTGTGTTCTTCTTATGCATAAAAATACCATAATATGTTTGCAGATATTTAAGAAACGTGCTAAGTGAACATTCTTGTTTATCTGAAACGCAATGCTGAAGTCAGATGTTCTGCTCTTAAAATGTGCGTTACATGCCGGAATAGCTGTCTTTGTTTTGGTTCTTTTAACCCACCCACTGCCACTTCAGCCAATTATACAGTAGTTCAGCATACCGGGTTGCCTTGCTGGAAAACAGCGTATTTCATTCAGTCAGTCAGGAAGGCTCTCAAAGTATGTGTCTGTGACCAAAGTGAAGTTTATAAACTAATGTGGAGAGGAGCACGTGATATGATTGAGCATGGCTGGATTCTCATCCGTAATTAGTAATAATCCTATCAAATTAATCCAAGTTTACAATAAATAGACCAATTTCACCCTACGTCCTTATCTTTGTTTTGAAAGAATCCCGCCTTCCACCCCATCTCCTCCTTTTCCTCCCTTTTCTATGGGGAGCTTTCAAGACCTACCTTATCTCGGACCCCCTTTAAATGCTTATAGACCAGATGGGAGCCTTGAGCTCAATTATCTCCAAGCTCAGGGTCCTCTTCAGGGACAGACCTGCTATTAATGCCAAGCATATTTAAGTGTGAACTCTTGAAATGCAACCTCCGGTGGACAGTAGCCGAAATTATTTTGATTAAGGTAACTCAAAGGGGTAATCCACAGTGTTTATATATATATATATATATATATATATATATATATATATATATATATATATATATATATATATATATATATAGTTGGTTGTGTTTGTAAGATGCAAAGCAATGTGTGCTCATGCTTGTTGAAAATCACCTTTGTTTTTTCATATATCTTACTTTAATTATATACAGCTACTCAGCTAACATGAAAATGACTGTCATATTTCCCAGTTCCTCAAGAGGTTCTGATTGGTCAGCTAACATAATATGCTGTGATTCGCGTATTAGCTCTATGTCACCACGTCACGCTCCTACAAGCAAACGCTTTGCGCTGTGTAAACAGCTGTATCAGTTGCCTGAATCAGACTGAAAATGAAGAGGACAAAGCTGAACTGAATGTGAAAAGCTGCATGTGTAAGTAAAATGAAACGTATCTTTTGCGAGTTTGTTATTTGAGATGTTTAATGCATGGAAAGCAGCCGCATAGAGAGACACTGAAAGCGTCCGCAAAGAGAGACTGCAGCGCTGCTCAAGATTGTGGGTGTTGTTAGAGGTGCCAAACAGCATTTCCCATTGTTTACATTCTTGCTTATGTCCTCGCTACAACATTCCCGTTAACGCTAGACACTATGCATGTAATTGATCAATTTTAACAAATAAAAACACTTGCAGATTGTGGCTCACAATCCACAGCTGCAGCAGTTGAAGGGGTTTTAGCCAAATCCGGCACGAAACTGGGAGAGATTCTGGACGTTCTCCTTTGTCAAATGCTAGCTATATTGTTTTATAATTCTCTGGAACATAATTAAAATAAAACAGTAAGCTCTTCTCTCTTTGTGTTGTGTCCTTTGGAAGCCCAAATACAGAAACAGAACAAGCTCAGTGGAAATAGCAGCTTTAGGACGGCATTTTAGCTATCTCTACTGCAACATTACAGTGCCTCTGGCCATGCCCCTTTGCTGCATGTGGTAAATACGTGTAACTGGAAACACCTTTGTGATCTCACTAGCCTGGATGTATTTTTTTTTGTAGCCCCCAAAGTTCATTCGTTGTAGGCTTTGCTAAGTTGAACTTTAAACGTATTGCATTTAGAGATGTTGTCACACAGCTACATTACACATCAATTAAAGTTTAACATGTGATATCATAGTGGACCACCCTATTAATGCTTTTTACAACTTTAAGTGGACTTGACACGGAGTTAGGTTGTCCCTAGAAACCCAGACAACTGTGTTGTTTCAGCTTATTTTAAATAGGAAGTTGGAAAGTTTGAACAAGCAGCAAAATATATATTTTTGAGTGTAGTGTATGTTATCCTAAAGAACAGTTTATTTCTTTCCAAAAACGTAACTTTTGAGCTGAAGTACACTCGAAGTACAATTACAATAAATTCAAACAACATAATTTTTCAGTTTTTTGGGGGACAACTTAATAGTGAAACAACTAATAAGTTAACTTAATTCCTTTATGTTGTCCCAACACAAAGTGATTGTGGGGAAGCCAGCATTTTTAACAGTGTACATGCAAATGTAACGGAGGCCAGCTAGTGTGTCCTCTGACCTCTAAAGGTGCTCTAGTGACAGACACTAGAGGCCATGGTCTTTAGCCTCCTTGGTAGAGCACCCGACTCCCATGCGGAAAGTCGCTGGATCAATACCAGCTCGGAGCGGGTTGGGTGGCGTAGGACCGGTGTGGTTACATTGGTGCCATGACCTGGATGGGAGTGAGGTTTAGGGGGGTGAGTGTTACAGAGGCCAGCTAGTCTGTGCTGTGCAGGTAAACCCCACTCCTCTGACCTCTAAAGGTGCTCTAGCGACAGACGCTAGAGGCCAGGGTCTTTAGCCTCCTTGTTAGAGCAACCGACTCCCATGCGGAAGGTCGCCAGTTCGATAGCAGGTTGGGTGGTTGTAGGACTGGTGGGGTTACACATATAGGGCAGCAAATTCTACTTACCTTTTGGAAAAGTCTTCCTCGTTTCGGAAACACCTATGACGCTTCAAAATGCTGTCTAGGTAGGCAGCGCACTAGATTTTGGAAATGAGCAAGACACACAAGTGCACACACACACACACTCATCCACAGAGAGACACAATGGGATATTTGTGTTTTTCCTTTTCTCAGACACTTTCAACCCACACACCATGAAACAAAACAATTGCTCGTCCGCCCACATTCGCCACACAAACACACACATGCACACACACACACACGCGCGCATTGAGAGCTGAGATTTAACAATCGCCTCCATCCGCAGCCACTAGATCACTTACAACTAATTAACCGCCTCTCAAATTCACAGATCTGGAGTAAATATTTATCATGCCTCACAACAATAGATTATTATTTTAGCGATGGCGTATTTTGGGGAGCAGCGAGATGCGTGTGACACTGAGCAGATGCAGAAGAGTTTTCACCTTGCTTACATTCTTAACGCATACACACACACACACACACACACACACACACACACACAGCGAGATTATAATTCACTATGAAACAAAGCGATCGCTCATCCACCCACCATTAGCGCACACACACACACATGCACGCACACACACACACACACACACACACACACACACATTGAACAGGCAGCAAAGAAAGAAGAGTGTGTGTGTGTGTGTGTGTGTGTGTGTGTGTGTGTGTGTGTGTGTGTGTGTGTGTGTGTGTGTGTGTGCATGTGTGTGTGTGTGTGTGTGTGTGTGTGTGTGTGTGTGTGTGTGTGTGTGTGTGTGTGTGTTTGTTGCAGTATGGAAGATTTATTGTCATGTAAACAGCGATGTGGGGAAAGTCAGGCATGGATAGCATCTCTACGCTCATTCGGCACACTGTTTTACAGCACTATCCAAACTGCTGTACATTTATATAGCTGGAAAGAGTTGTGCTTGTGTATCTAGCAGAGGCGGTAAACCAAAAGCGAGCCAGGAGTCTTTACAGTAGTACACTGGGTTTGATTAAGTTAACTTCATTGTTTTTGCTAATTTAAGTGGATTGAACATAAAACAGTTAAGAAAAAAAAAACTAAACAATTGTGTTGATTCAGCTCATTTTAAATAAGTAGTTTGAACAAGCAGCAAAAATCCTTTTTGGAGTGTTCACAAATGTCAAGTCAGTGGCTCATCTTGTGCAGTCACACAAGTCAGGTTATGGTGCAAAAAGGGCTTTATATTACTTATTTATTTCCCTTCAGGAAATGAACTTTTGGATTTATGAATTATAAATATGCGAAGAAGAAAAAAACATGCTTAATCTACATTAATATCTAAAAACTGATTTTGTCAGCTGTAGTTAACCTGGGTTTAAAAAAAAAAAAAAAGAGTTTGCAAAAAAATGTAGTAGCCTAAATAGATAACAAATGAATTTATAAAGATTTAGATGGATGCTTATAATCTGAAAAAATATTACAAATATATTTTAAAAATTATTATATTAAAAACGGTTGAAATGTGACCGTAATTACAAAGCAATGAACCAATTGCTCAATACCTCTAATTTTGAACTTTCTATTGCTCAGATTGCTTAAAAATAATAATAATAACACAATAATGTTCACCCACTGAACTGTTATTAATTTTCATATAGATTTATTACTGTTATTATGTTATATATATATATGTGATTCAGGTTTTTTATAGGACCTTAATCTTTCCTCCAAAAGGTTTTGTGGTTAAAAAGTAAAAAAGTGACTTTTATTGACATTTTTAATAGCTTGATGTGACATATTGTTTGATGTTGGTGTTGTATATTATGGTACAAACACGGTACATTACGGTACATTACATCCATATATATATATTGATTTGTGTTTTTGCAAGTGTTTTACGGTTTTGAATTGCATTATGGGATGTTGATCTCTGCTTTGTTGACTTTTGATATTGAAAATTCAACAGAATTAAAAGTGGCTTTTACTGACATTTTAGTTGGTTGAGACAAGATATTGTTTAAGAAATAATATATAGAGAACCTAGTTTGTAAAGTAACAGAAATGTACTGGCAGTTTATTACAAGGATGTTATGTACCGTAATTTACCGTGTTTGTACCATAATATACAACACCAACATCAGACAATATATCACATCAAACTATTAAAAATGTCAATAAAAGTCACTTTTTTGACTTTTTAACCACAAAACCTTTTGGAGGAAAGATTAAGGTCCTATAAAAAACATGAATCACAAAAGAGCAAAACTGTTAATTAAACTGT